CACCGTGTCTCTCTCACCGTGTCTCTCTCACCGTGCGTGTCTCTTACCGTGAGTGTCTCTCCACCGTGTCTTTCCACCGTGTGTCTCCACCATGCGTGTCTCTCCACCGTGTCTCTCTCAATGTGTGTGTCTCTCCACCATACGTGTCTCTCCACCGTGAGTGTCTCTCTCACAGTGCGTGTCTCTCCACCGTGTCTCTCCACCGTGCGTGTCTCTGCACCGTGTCTCTCACCGTGAGTATCTCTCTCACCGTGAGTGTCTCTCCACCATGCGTGTCTCTCCACCGTGTCTCCCCGCCGTGAGTGTCTCTGCACCGTGTCTCTCTCACCGTGTCTCTCTCACCGTGAGTGTCTCTCTCACCGTGCGTGTCTCTCTCAATGTGCGTGTCTCTCTCACCGTGAGTGTCTCTCACCGTGCGTGTCTCTCTCACCGTGTCTCTCACCGTGCGTGTCTCTGCACCGTGTCTCTCTCACCGTGAGTGTCTCTCTCACCGTGAGTGTCTCTCTCACTGTGTCTCTCTCACCGTGTCTCTCACCGTGTCTCTCTCACCGTGCGTGTCTCTCTCACCGTGCGTGTCTTTCCACCGTGTCTCTCTCACCATGTCTCTCACCGTGTCTCTCTCACCGTGCGTGTCTTTCACCGTGTCTCTCTCACCGTGTCTCTCACCGTGTCTCTCTCACCGTGTCTCTCTCACCGTGTCTCTCTCACCGTGTCTCTCACCGTGCGTGTCTCTCCGCCGTGTCTCGTAGGCCGATCCTGTTCGAGAACTTGGTGCTCAGGGGAGCCACTCTGAAGAACACGGCAATCATCTACGGTAACATACATGACTTAACATGTATAACACACATAACATACATACATCATGTACAAACATACCATGCATAACATACATACATAACATACATACTTAACATGCATACGAAACAAACATACAGACATAAAATACATAACATACGTACATAACATACATACCATACACAAGACACATAACATACATATAATACATAACACACACAACGTGCATACATAACGTATATACATAATGTACACACATAGCATGCATAACATACATGGCATGCATACATAACACGCATACACAACATACGTAACACGCATACATAACGTGTCTCCCCCGTGTCTCCCCCGTGTCTCCCCCGTGTCTCCCCCCGTGTCTCCCCCTGTCTCCCCCGTGTCTCCCTCGTGTCTCCCCCCGTGTCTCCCCCCTGTCTCCCCCTCCTGTCCCCCGTGTCTCCCCCCGTGTCTCCCCCCGTGTCTCCCCCGTGTCTCCCCCGTGTCTCCCCCTCCTGTCCCCCGTGTCTCCCCCCTGTCTCCCCCCGTGTCTCCCCCCTGTCTCCCCCGTGTCTCCCCCTGTCTCCCCCGTGTCTCCCTCGTGTCTCCCCCCGTGTCTCCCCCCTGTCTCCCCCTCCTGTCCCCCGTGTCTCCCCCCGTGTCTCCCCCCGTGTCTCCCCCGTGTCTCCCCCGTGTCTCCCCCTCCTATCCCCCGTGTCTCCCCCCTGTCTCCCCCCGTGTCTCCCCCCTGTCTCCCCCGTGTCTCCCCCTCCTGTCCCCCGTGTCTCCCCCGTGTCTCCCCCCGTGTCTCCCCCGTGTCTCCCCCGTGTCTCCCCCGTGTCTCCCCCTGTCTCCCCCTTTCTCCCCCGTGTCTCCCCCGTGTCTCCCCCCTGTCTCCCCCGTGTCTCCCCCTATCTCCCCCTGTCTCCCCCTCCTGTCTCCCCCTGTCTCCTCCTGTCTCCCCCTGTCTCCCCCGTGTCTCCCCCTGTCTCCCCCCTGTCTCCCCCGTGTCTCCCCCCTGTCTCCCCCGTGTCTCCCCCTGTCCCCCCGTGTCTCCCCCCTGTCTCCTCCGTGTCTCCCCCTTGTCTCGCCCGTGTCTCCCCCGTGTCTCCCCCTGTCTCCCCGTGTCTCCCCGTGTCTCCCCCTGTCTCCCCCTCCTGTCTCCCCCTCCTGTCTACCCCTGTTTCCTCCTGTCTCCCCCTGTCTCCCCCGTGTCTCCCCCCTGTCTCCCCCGTGTCTCCCCCTTGTCTCCCCCCGTGTCTCCCCCGTGTCTCCCCCTGTCTCCCCGTGTCTCCCCCTGTCCCCCCCATGTCTCCCCCGTGTCTCCCCCGTGTCTCCCCCGTGTCTCCCCCTGTCTCCCCCTGTCTCCCCCTGTCTCCCCCTCCTGTCTCCCCCTGTCTCCTCCTGTCTCCCCCTGTCTCCCCCGTGTCTCCCCCTGTCTCCCCCCTGTCTCCCCCGTGTCTCCCCCCTGTCTCCCCCGTGTCTCCCCCTGTCCCCCCGTGTCTCCCCCCTGTCTCCCCCGTGTCTCCCCCTTGTCTCCCCGCGTGTCTCCCCCGTGTCTCCCCCTGTCTCCCCGTGTCTCCCCGTGTCTCCCCCTGTCCCCCCCATGTCTCCCCCGTGTCTCCCCCGTGTCTCCCCGTGTCTCCCCCTCCTGTCCCCCGTGTCTCCCCCGTGTATCCCCGTGTCTCCCCCGTGTCTCCCCGCTATCTCCCCCCGTGTCTCCCCCGTGTCTCCCCCGTGTCTCCCCCGTGTCCCCCCCAGGCCTGGCCGTCTACACCGGCATGGAGACCAAAATGGCTCTCAACTACAAGAAGAGAAGTCTGAAGAGGTCGGCCGTGGAAAAGTGAGACACGACCCCGTGACCCCGTGACCCCCTGACCCCGTGCCCCGTGTCTCTCTGTGTCTCTCTGTGTCTCTGTGTCTCCGTGTCTCTGTGTCTCTGTGTCTCTGTGTGTCTCTGTGTCTACGTGTCTCTGTGTCTCCGTGTCTCTGTGTCTCTGTGTGCCTTTGTGTCTCTGTGTCTACGTGACTCCGTGTCTCTGTGTCTCCGTGTCGCTGTGTATCCGTGTCTCTGTGTCTCCGTGTCTCTGTGTCTCTGTGTCTCTGTGTGTCTCTGTGTCTCTGTGTCTACGTGTCTCCGTGTCTCCGTGTCTCCCTGTCTCTGTGTCTCCCTGTCTCCGTGTCTCCGTGTCTCTGTGTCTCCTTGTCTCCCTGTCTCCCTGTCTCCCTGTCTCTCTGTCTCTCTGTCTCCCTGTCTCCGTGTCTCCTTGTCTCCCTGTCTCCCTGTCTCTCTGTCTCCCTGTCTCTCTGTCTCCCTGTCTCCCTGTCTCCCTGTCTCCGTGTCTCTGTGTCTCCCTGTCTCTGTGTCTCCCTGTCTCCCTGTCTCCGTGTCTCCCTGTCTCCCTGTCTCTCTGTCTCTGTGTCTCCCTGTCTCTCTGTCTCTCTGTCTCCCTGTCTCCGTGTCTCCTTGTCTCTCTGTCTCCCTGTCTCCCTGTCTCTCTGTCTCCCTGTCTCCGTGTCTCCCTGTCTCCCTGTCTCCGTGTCTCCATGTCTCTCTGTCTCTCTGTCTCCCTGTCTCCGTGTCTCCCTGTCTCCCTGTCTCCGTGTCTCCATGTCTCCCTGTCTCTGTGTCTCCGTGTCTCCGTGTCTCCCTGTCTCCCTGTCTCCCTGTCTCTCTGTCTCCCTGTCTCCGTGTCTTTCTCTCTCCATGTCTCCGTGTCTCCCTGTCTCTCTGTCTCCCTGTCTCCGTGTCTCCTTGTCTCTGTGTCTCTCTGTCTCCCTGTCTCTCTGTCTCCCTGTCTCCCTGTCTCCCTGTCTCCCTGTCTCCCTGTCTCCGTGTCTCCATGTCTCTCTGTCTCTCTGTCTCCCTGTCTCCGTGTCTCCCTGTCTCCCTGTCTCCGTGTCTCCCTGTCTCTCTGTCTCTCTGTCTCCGTGTCTCCGTGTCTCCGTGTCTCCCTGTCTCCCTGTCTCCCTGTCTCCCTGTCTCCGTGTCTTTCTCTCTCCATGTCTCCGTGTCTCCCTGTCTCTCTGTCTCCCTGTCTCCGTGTCTCCTTGTCTCTGTGTCTCTCTGTCTCCCTGTCTCCTTGTCTCCCTGTCTACGTGTCTCTCTGTCTCCCTGTCTCCCTGTCTCCGTGTCTCCCTGTCTCTCTATCTCCGTGTCTCCTTGTCTCCTTGTCTCCCTGTCTCCCTGTCTCTCTGTCTCCTTGTCTCTCTGTCTCCTTGTCTCTCTGTCTCCGTGTCTCCTTGTCTCTCTGTCTCCTTGTCTCTCTGTCTCCGTGTCCGTCTTTCTCCCTGTCTCCCTGTCTCTCTGTCTCCGTGGCTCCGTGTCTACCTGTCTCCCTGTCTCCCTGTCTCTCTGTCCCCCTGTCTCCGTGTCTCCTTGTCTCCCTGTCTCCCTGTCTCCCTGTCTCCCTGTCTCCCTGTCTCTCTGTCTCCCTGTCTCTCTGTCTCCGTGTCTCTCTGTCTCCCTGTCTCTCTGTCTCTCTGTCTCTCGGTCTCCCTGTCTCCGTGTCTCTGTGTCTCCCTGTCTCCGTGTCTCCCTGTCTCCCTGTCTCCTTGTCTCCCTGTCTCCGTGTCTCCGTGTCTCCCTGTCTCCGTGTCTCCCTGTCTCCCTGTCTCCTTGTCTCTCTGTCTCCGTGTCCGTCTTTCTCCCTGTCTCCGTGTCTCCCTGTCTCCCTGTCTCCTTGTCTCTCTGTCTCCGTGTCCGTCTTTCTCCCTGTCTCCCTGTCTCCCTGTCTCTCTGTCTCCGTGTCTCCGTGTCTACCTGTCTCCCTGTCTCCCTGTCTCTCTGTCCCCCTGTCTTCGTGTCTCCTTGTCTCCCTGTCTCCCTGTCTCTCTGTCTCCCTGTCTCTCTGTCTCCCTGTCTCCGTGTCTCTCGGTCTCCCTGTCTCCGTGTCTCTGTGTCTCCCTGTCTCCGTGTCTCCCTGTCTCCCTGTCTCCTTGTCTCCCTGTCTCCGTGTCTCCGTGTCTCCCTGTCTCCGTGTCTCCCTGTCTCCCTGTCTCCTTGTCTCTCTGTCTCCGTGTCCGTCTTTCTCCCTGTCTCCCTGTCTCCCTGTCTCTCTGTCTCCGTGTCTCCGTGTCTACCTGTCTCCCTGTCTCCCTGTCTCTCTGTCCCCCTGTCTTCGTGTCTCCTTGTCTCTCTGTCTCCCTGTCTATCTGTCTCCCTGTCTCCCTGTCTCCCTGTCTCTCTGTCTCCGTGTCTCCGTGTCTCTGTGTCTCCCTGTCTCTCTGTCTCCCTGTCTCCCTGTCTCTCTGTCTCCCTGTCTCTCTGTCTCCCTGTCTCTCTGTCTCCCTGTCTCCCTGTCTCTCTGTCTCTGTGTCTCCTTGTCTACCTGTCTCCGTGTCTCCGTGTCTCCTTGTCTCCGTGTCTCCCTGTCTCCCTGTCTCCGTGTCTCCCTGTCTCCGTGTCTCCCTGTCTCCCTGTCTCCTTGTCTCCCTGTTTCCCTGTCTCTCTGTCTCCCTGTCTCTCTGTCTCCCTGTCTCTCTGTCTCTCTGTCTCTGTGTCTCCTTGTCTACCTGTCTCCGTGTCTCCGTGTCACCATGTCTCCCTGTCTCCGTGTCTCCATGTCTCCCTGTCTCTCTGTCTCCCTGTCTCCGTGTCTCCGTGTCTACCTGTCTCCGTGTCTCCGTGTCTCCATGTCTCCCTGTCTCCGTGTCTCCATGTCTCCCTGTCTCCGTGTCTCTATGTCTCCCTATCTCTCTGTCTCCCTGTCTCCGTGTCTCCGTGTCTACCTGTCTCCGTGTCTCCGTGTCTCCTTGTCTCTCTGTCTCCCTGTCTCTCTGTCTCCCTGTCTCTCTGTCTCCCTGTCTCTCTGTCTCCGTGTCTCTCTGTCTCCCTGTCTCTCTGTCTCTCGTTCTCCCTGTCTCCCTGTCTCCCTGTCTCCGTGTCTCCTTGTCTCCTTGTCTCCGTGTCTCCCTGTCTCTCTGTCTCTCTGTCTCCCTGTCTCCCTGTCTCCCTGTCTCCGTGTCTCCCTGTCTCCGTGTCTCCCTGTCTCCCTGTCTCCCTGTCTCCCTGTCTCCTTGTCTCTCTGTCTCCCTGTCTCTCTGTCTCCCTGTCTCCCTGTCTCTCTGTCTCCGTGTCTCCTTGTCTACCTGTCTCCGTGTCTCCGTGTCACCATGTCTCCCTGTCTCCGTGTCTCCATGTCTCCCTGTCTCTCTGTCTCCCTGTCTCCGTGTCTCCGTGTCTAACTGTCTCCGTGTCTCCGTGTCTCCATGTCTCCCTGTCTCCGTGTCTCCATGTCTCCCTGTCTCCGTGTCTCTATGTCTCCCTATCTCTCTGTCTCCCTGTCTCCGTGTCTCCGTGTCTACCTGTCTCCGTGTCTCCGTGTCTCCTTGTCTCTCTGTCTCCCTGTCTCTCTGTCTCCCTGTCTCCCTGTCTCCGTGTCTCCTTGTCTCCCTGTCTCCCTGTCTCCTTGTCTCCCTGTCCCCCTGTCTCCCTGTCTCTGTGTCTCCCTGTCTCCCTGTCTCCATGTCTCTGTATCTCTGTGTCTCTCTGTCTCTGTGTCTCCGTGTCTCCTTGTCTCTCTGTCTCTCTGTCTCCCTGTCTCCCTGTCTCCGTGTCTCCTTGTCTCCCTGTCTCCCTGTCTCCTTGTCTCCCTGTCCCCCTGTCTCCCTGTCTCTGTGTCTCCGTGTCTCCATGTCTCTGTGTCTCTGTGTCTCTCTGTCTCCGTGTCTCTGTGTCTCTGTGTCTCTGTGTCTCCGTGTCTCTGTGTCTCTGTGTCTCTGTGTCTCAGGTCTATGAACTCCTTCCCGCTTGTCTACCTGTGTCTCTGTGTCTCTGTGTCTCCGTGTCTCTGTGTCTCCGTGTCTCCATGTCTCCATGTCTCCGTGTCTCCGTGTCTCTGTGTCTCCGTGTCTCTGTGTCTCTGTGTCTCCGTGTCTCTGTGTCTCCGTGTCTCCGTGTCTCCGTGTCTCTGTGTCTCTGTGTCTCCGTGTCTCCATGTCTCTGTGTCTACCTGTGTCTCTGTGTCTCTGTGTCTGTGTGTCTCTGTGTCTCAGGTCCATGAACTCGTTCCTGCTTGTCTACCTGTGTCTCTGTGTCTCTGTGTCTCCGTGTCTCTGTGTCTCTGTGTCTCTGTGTCTCAGGTCCATGAACTCGTTCCTGCTTGTCTACCTGTGTCTCTTTGTCTCCGTGTCTCCGTGTCTTTGTGTGTGTCTCTGTGTCTCAGGTCCATGAACTCGTTCCTGCTTGTCTACCTGTGTCTCTGTGTCTCCGTTTCTCAGGTCCATGAACTCGTTCCTGCTTGTCTACCTGTGTCTCCGTGTCTCTGTGTCTCTGTGTCTCCGTGTCTCTGTGTCTCCGTGTCTGTGTGTCTCTGTGTCTACCTGTGTCTCTTGTGTCTCTGTGTCTCCGTGTCTCTGTGTCTCGGTGTCTCAGGTCCATGAACTCGTTCCTGCTTGTCTACCTGTGTCTCTGTGTCTCCGTGTCTGTGTGTCTCTGTGTCTACCTGTGTCTCTGTGTCTCCGTGTCTCTGTTTCTCTGTGTCTCAGGTCCATGAACTCGTTCCTGCTTGTCTACCTGTGTCTCTGTGTCTCTGTGTCTCCGTGTCTCTGTGTCTCCGTGTCTCAGGTCCATGAACTCGTTCCTGTTTGTCTACCTGTGTCTTTGTGTCTCTGTGTCTCCGTGTCTCTGTGTCTCCGTGTCTCAGGTCCATGAACTCGTTCCTGCTTGTCTACCTGTGTATCTGTGTCTCCGTGTCTCCGTGTCTCTGTGTCTCTGTGTCTCTGTGTCTCCGTGTCTCAGGTCCATGAACTCGTTCCTGCTTGTCTACCTGTGTCACTGTGTCTCTGTGTCTCCGTGTCTCAGGTCCATGAACTCGTTCCTGCTTCTCTAACTGTGTCTCT